TGTAAGATGTTTGTTCCTGTTGTATGATTACTGGAAATATTTTCTCTGTTTTATAGGAATACTGACTGATGCCCTTAGTGCCTTCCTGGAGACCAACTTGCCCAAAGCAAAGACGTTCCAACTTGGTGTTATTGATCCCAAGCTGGGAGCTGCCATCAATGAAGCTCTCGGCTTTAGTGTGACACACATTGGTGTCGTCCCTGAGGTGAGATTTGTTCTTAAACACTTAATGACTTAATGACTTAATTATGCAATAGGATGGCAAACTCTGTAGGGCTTACAGATTTCAGGAAGATTTTCTCAACATGATTTACACTGTGATGATAATATTTACAAGGTTTGGAAAGTCAGTGAGACTAAACACCCCTTACTTTTCAGGTTATCCGTGGCATTAGAACACACCTCACCCACTTTGTGAAGGGCCTCTCCATAGCCTCTGTTAAGCAGACGGAGCTTGGTCTTGGTCACTCGTACTCAAGAGGAAAGGTGAAGTTCAATGTGAACCGTGCCGATAACATGATCATCCAGAGTATTGCCTTGGTGGATCAGTTGGATAAGGATATTAATACATTTGCCATGAGAATCAAGTAAGGATCCCTTGTGTTTTTGTATTGTGGTTAGTTTAATAATGGAAGTATGTCTTCTTTTATTTCATTATTCCCCCCCCACCCTTCCTTGTGATTAATTTGTACTCTGTATTTTCAGGGAATGGTATTCTTATCACTTCCCAGAGCTTGCAAAGATTGTGACTGACAACTACCAGTATGGTCAGTGTGCCAACTTCATCAAAGAGCGAACTTCTCTGAAAGAAGATTCCTTGGAAAAGCTGGAAGAAATTGTCATGGACTCTGCAAAAGCACAGGCTATTTTGGATGCTGCTAGGATGTCAATGGGTGAGTTCATTTACAGTGGAGGTTTTTTAAAATACAGGTATATATTGTCCATGAACACCATTTGTTACTCTTACATTTAAATACATTCTTGTAAATTTAAATGTAAATCTCTTGCAGGTATGGACATTTCACCAATTGACTTGATAAACATTGAGCGCTTCGCAAAACGAGTCGTGGCCCTCTCAGAATACCGCAAGCAGCTGGCAGAATACCTCAGATCGAAGATGGACAGTGTAGCCCCCAACTTGGCCACCCTCATCGGTGAAGTCGTTGGTGCTCGCCTCATCTCCCATGCTGGCTCGCTTACCAACCTTGCAAAATACCCTGCATCCACAGTTCAGATCCTAGGGGCTGAGAAGGCTTTGTTCCGTGCCATTAAAACTAGATCGAATACCCCCAAGTATGGTCTTATCTATCACTCCACTTTCATTGGCCGAGCTGGGATGGCCAACAAGGGCAGAATCTCCCGCTATCTGGCCAACAAGTGTTCTATTGCTTCCCGCATTGATTGTTTCACAGGTAAGGAGAATTGGGGAAAATGTGTTTGTTTCCTATCTCAATGTATTGAACAATATTGTGCTTGTTGTTTGTATAGTTGACCTTTTTACCTGGAGAAAATAATGGTGTGCCTGCACACAGGTACCCCCCCCCACACACACACACACACGCACACACACACACACACACACTGCAGTGTCTTTCTATTGCACTCGGTCTTACTCTTACTCACATACACACCTATGCATTACATATTTACTTAATTCATTGAATCTGTCCACAGAAAACCTGACAAAAGTGTTTGGTGAGAAACTAAGAAATCAAGTTGAGGACCGACTGAAGTTCTATGAAACCGGAAACATTCCAAGAAAGAATGTGGAAGTTATGAGTGAAGCGTTAGAAGAGCATAACCAGCTAGTTAGCTCGTTGGCCCAGAAGGGAAAGAAGAGGAAACTGGAGGAAGTTAATGGTAAGTTGGGTGTGTTGACAGGTCCATAACAAGACTAGCAATATAGGAAAATAATACTTGAAATAAATAACTTTTCTAACTTCCTGTTCCTTTCTCTGTAGGGGATGTTGCTGAGAATGTAGTAAATGGAGAAACCCCAAAGAAAAAGAAGAAGAAGAAGAAGAAGCAGCAGCAAGAGGAGGCAGCAACAGAGGAGGCAGCAACAGAGGAGGCACCTGTCGCAGAGGAGGTCACAGAACCTGTAGCAGAGGAAGTAAGTATAGAAGAAAAGGCTCTGAAGAATTACATACGTTTTTATCTGCTGAAGCAACACGTGTGGTCTCAATACAGACATGACATAAAAAAAATATATAGTTCTCACATTTTCCCTCTCTCCTCAGGTTACTGAAAAGAAAAAGAAGAAGAAGAAGAAGGTAGTACAAGAAGAAGCAGGAGAAGCAGCACCAGAAGAGCCTATGCATATTGCCGAGAATGGCATCTCTGAAAAGAAGAAGAAAAAGAAGAAGAAGAACCAAGCAGCCGTAGCAGAAGCAGAGGAGGAGGCTGCGGTTGAGGAGCAGCAGGAGGCGGCGCCAGCTGCCGAGGTAACGACAAAAAAGAAGAAGAAGAAGAAGGCGGCAAAGGAAGCGGTTGATGAATAGGCAAATTAGCTAGTTTATTTGATAATTACTGTTTTATTTTATTTTTATTTTTTTTCTGCTCCCAGTACCTGTTATAAAGAAGTCAGGTATTCTTTTGTGCTAAAATATATTGCTTATTTCTTGTTCGAATGAACTAGACAAAAATGAAAATCTCATTTTAGGCTTTTTTTATCATGTATTCTTGACCTTTTTTCCGTTAGAAATGTTGCAAATTGTATTTATTTGCTGTGAGAAAAAAAAAACTAATACAAACTATAGAAATATAATACCATATTACAGATGAATTGAAAGTTTGAATTCCTTTTTAAATTTAGATTAAACACCTTGTTATTTTTGTAATAGTATTATTTAAATATGAATGTTTTCAATATTGCAGTTACTGTTGTTTTGGGGAATTAAAAAATTTCAGACATTTTGGAAAAATATTGTATGCTTGTATGTTCGTGTATGTGTGTGTGAGTGAAAGACAAATGAACATTGACACTGACAGTGTAATACACTATTCAATAAACATTTGTACTTGATGATTTAATGTCATTGTTACCCTCATTTTATTGAATAAGACCTGTTGTATAATCATCAGCCATTGGGTTCAGTACTGAAATGATAATAGTAATAGACATTTGAATATATTCCAAAAAAAACAGGAATGCCATATATAGGTGTGAACTCATTTAGGCTTTATGATTAACAAACTGCTTGTGGAGGTTTTTATGAGATAAAGTGGACAGTGTTTTTATATGCACTCCAGTAGCATTATATACTCCAGAAAAAATGCTATTCTCGCTCCATTTTAGAGAACTTGTATATGGTATTTTAAAATTTTCCTGTAGAAAACCACTTCAAATAAATAGATGAATAAATAATGTATGGATGAGACTTGACATGGTTTTTGAACCCACTGTACTGTAGAAGATATCAAGTTTCTAGGTTTTTCATTAAATATAATTTTAATTCAAGTCAAAATTAGCTTTTTAACCTTTTATTCTTTGTATATACATATACACTGTGCATCATTCAAGTCAGTCAGGTAATTTTATCATTATTACTCTTATTTTTCTTATCAGCATCTGGGCTTCCTAATGTGCTTTCATATTCTAACGTCACTATTATTATTATTACTTATGATTCTGAAATTCTAGTTCGAAAAGCAATATTTTGATTATCAATATTATACATTAATGCATAGTTATTATTGATGCATAATTAGAGATGGCATTTCACACTTTGCAATGTTGTCTTGTCCAAAGCTTCAGTAAGCACTAATTGTTTGAATTTTTAAACAATGCATGAAATAAATATGTTAACCAAACAGGAATTATAAATACATATTTAAGTAGTTTGCAGAATATGTCCTTTATATAAATAGATAAAAGTTAACATCTAATTTCCAGCAAGAAACTTCCCTCCCCCATTATTTCCCAATGCGTTTCTGCATTTCTGGGGGAAACTCTTCTATACATGTTCTTGCACAATCAAGGCAAAACCTCTTAGTGTAAAAGATGCTACATGAGGATGCCTGACACACAACTCTCTTACAAGCCACACATTCTGATCCTAGTAAGAGAAAGGACTTTGTGCCAGCGCTCTGGAATGGGTCCTTCATCATGTAACAGTTCTCCAGAAATGTAATATCCTTATGGAAGGGTGGTTTACAGCCATAGTAGTTATAGGACTCCGTCAGACCACACATTTCACAGAGAAATGTTCCTCCTTTTTCATTCTTCATGTTGATGTCACTTGCCGTTGCCATGGTTGGAAGCTTTCTTTTACAGTGTACGGTGATGCTGGTTTCCAATTGACATATTTTGAACACAATAATGTCTTCACTTCACTCTGTGGTGGTTGTTTCTCTGAGCTGAAACAGCAAAAGCCAAATCCAAATAATATTATTGTTAAATTGTATATTAAATTCATCACAGTCACCCTAACAGTTTTGCTACTGAGAACCCCTTTGCTTAATGCAGTCACCTATTCAACAAACTTATTTCCTTAAATCAATCAAGTTGCCTGAATAATTGATTTTACAGCAAGCAGTTAAATAAATGTAAATGTTTTACAAAACTTTTTCATTACACCTTGCTGATGCCTCTTAATATTTTGACCACAATACACAACTTCTAATTCTTCCATATCAAACCTCCAGGGATTTGCTGACAATCAGATGGGAACCACTTTGAACCACTTAGGCAAGATTGTAATTTCAAATTTACTTTTCAGTTTACACAACACATCTACTACTGCTTTTTATATCAAATAATTTTTTTGTATTGCGACATAATATTCAGCTAATTGAAGCAGAGAACCTGTTAAAGTTCCCTGCTAGTTTGAAAAAAATATTTTTTGCTTAATCTCTGTTTTTGATGTACACTGTGTAGTACTAATTTGTAGATCTGGTCATTACGTGTACCTGTGTCTGCTATTATTACCTGCTTTGTCAAGTGCCAAAGTACACAGTAATATCAAACTGTTTTATTTGGTAAATAAAATAAGATAAAGTAATATTAAAAAATATATTTAATAACAAATGACTAGATGACAAAATACAAACAAAAAACAAGAGGAAAATCTGAGAATGTTCATAATTTCATAAACACATTTCCCAGTGTTTAAAGGCTGCACTTGAAATGAGGGTATGTGCATCCTGAGGTGAAAATGTGTTCATTAAATGTTCTATTAGTTTAAATTTTCATCAATAATATAAACTGATATGGTCATGTTAAAGCACTACAACTATAAGTTAAGATAGAGTGCATTAATATAAACATATAGATGCTTATGTTAGAGATGAAAATTTAAAATAAAACATTTAATAAACGCATCTTTGGACACATACCTTCAAATGCAAAACGTAATATACATAACTCTCTAACTCTCTAGCAATTTAAAACTGAAGTAACCATGTGTTAACTTTTATAATGTCTGAAAGAATACATTTTTTCACCCCAGTTATAAAATAATAAGGAAATGAATTAACCCACAACTTCTTTGAATGTAATAAACCCAATATTTTATAAATACAACCAAAATGTCCCTTAATTTTTTACCTGAATTGAATTATTGACTAAAGACAAACTGTAAAACCATTTTCCTTCACAAGTTTTCATGTAACCTTTTAAAATTAGCACACATGGAACAGCACAAAATGATATTTTTTGCCTAAGACAGATTTCCCTTATACAGAATAGTGATATTATGATTAGCAACATTTTCCCATGAGAATATAAAAAGTTCTGATACATGTATAAATTGTAAGCATAATACACAGAAATAAGTGTGGGTTTGGAATACATACTCTTTAGATATATGATGAGTGAAATTGTAATTGTTCACTTTTCAGCCTTGAAAATAAGCTAATGGTGTTGATAATCCCTAAGTTGCATAACAAGAAAAAAAATTGTAGTTAATTATATTGATCTCGGTGTATGAAATCAATAACACCCACTAGAGATTTATCATGTGCTATCAAGGCCTGTTTATATGGGTCTGAAATAATTGCAGTTAACAATATATGTTATACAACAAATATATTTTTAGTGTTCCTAGAACCTCACTTATTATCTTGGGAGTATATTCTGATCAGAAATAACAATAAAATAATTTCAAACTGAGTAAGTACTAATTTATCAATCCATCCCTTCTTTGCTTCAGCCATTAGGTCTAATTCATTTTTTCTTTTGAAGCTTCAATGGGCCACCATGGAGGCCTAAATGTTTTTACAACCATATCATTGGCTGTCAGTGTTTCTGCAGCTAAGCATTCTTTAACTCTTAATAACCCTATCCCATACTGACCATCTATTCCTCGAACCTTACCTACAGATTTTCCCTTCTCATTAATTATATTTGTATCATAAGCAAGAGTAGAAGTGTCACCGGGAAATATGAGAGGCATGTATCTCTTGCGCACAACACCAGTATGGAAAGTTCTGGCAGTAAGTTCTTGCCCTATGTAACAGCCTTTGTGAAAACTAACTCCATGAAGATAATCTAGGTTGGCTTCAAGTGGCAAGCATTTTGTGGGTGGGAGCTCCTGCAGCCCTTCACCAACACCCAACTTGTAACGTAAAAACTTGAAAATCTCTTTACCATGTTCTACATCTGAAACAATGTCTGTGATATGATTTTTGTCTGGAACAACAAGCCTGTGTCCTAGATATTTCATCCTCGGATCTCTTGTCACAATGACATCACTCACAGAGTCTTTTAAGTGAATGAGGACCTCAGATTCTGCTTTTGGATTGAGGTATAAAGACTCTACATCAACCTGTGTAATACTGTCCATGTCTAATTCAGGTTCAAACACAGCCCACACATTAAAGTCTTCAAGAGGTTTAATGTCAATTTTCCTCCGCACTTTGTACATCTTCAGATGCCTCACTAAATGGTCCAATTTTTCACGGTCACATTCAACTAGATAACTCTCCTCGTGCCTCTTGTAAATAATGGTATCAAAGACAACTCTGCCTTGAGTGTTGAGCATCATTGAGTACATGCTTGTTGCTCCTTCTAACAGGTGATTCATGTCATTTGTGACAAGACCCTGCAGGAAAGCAGAAGCCTCCTTGCCATTTACCTGTGCTAAGCTTCTGTTTGACTGCACTTCAGCACTAAGATTTCTTTGCATGGAATAAGAAATTCTGGCCCAATTTCTTCCAACATGTGCTGTCTGGGGACACAATCTACTAAATACATGCAACATGATTTGTGTTCTGGAGTAAATTACCAAAAGCTGTAATTACTTTGCTCCTTCAGATGGCTGGTTCTTGGGAAGTCCTCAAGTCCCTGGAAGAAATAAAGTTTACTTAATCCTTCTATGCTATAAGTTCATAAAATACAATTTGGACAAATCTTAGTAATACACAATTGCACCTAACACTTGTCTATATATGGCCACACAATATCCAGAAAACCTCATATATATTACTGTAAGACCAAGCTTGTAGACCTCCCTGGTGACTGATCATATCAGAAACTGTCCAATCTTGATCTTGACAGAATATACACATATTGGAGAATTGTTGGCCTTTGTCAGAGCACAGACAGTTGGGAACACCAATGATTGCATGACACTACTTCACTATCAGGTGGGACATTGGATTATTTGCCTTTAATCAAAGAATACAGCAAACTTCATTAGGATTTGGATAAAATGCATGCAGTATAACCCCACACAAAACTCATATTCTGGAAGCCACTACATGTATGAATAAGACTGATCAGATGCCATGCAAGTTAAAATCATTTTCTAATTATCTAGAAAAGGACCACATTAACCCACTGGTGACGGGTAATATTGTATAACATGGGAGCAAAAAGTCTCAGACACCAGGTAATGCTTGATAAGTCATAAGTCCATTTCCTGTCCATCAGTGTGATGGCTCGAGTGTCCGACTGTGAGGCAGACCATCGTCCAGGGGTAAAGCAGCACATGCTTATGAATCCTGGTCTCATATAACTTTCCCAAAAAATGTCATCAGTTTAATAATAGGTTAAATAATGACAAGAAAACGCCATTATGCGTATTCTATTTAGGTTGAGCTCGAACTGGAATCCTTATTTGATATTAAATTGCCAGATAGATCTATATTCTGATAAAGTACTGGGATTATCCTTTATTGTGCAGAATAAATAGTATTTTACATATAATAACACTATTTGAGCTATCAATTTTCCTCTATCTCAACACGTTTCTATTCCCGACAATAAGTAATTACACCTCACGTAAGAGTGTGAATACATTAACAAATATATAACAACGAAACATTACCATGCAAAAATTTTGACCCGAGCTTTAACATTGCAAAGCTAACACTATAACACCTTTTTGATCATGAATTATACCACGACTCTGTCAGTATGTGATCCTCAATCTCTCTCGTGACATGGAACTGAAACGGAATACACATAAATCAGAAAAGAAGAATGATTTAAACAGCTGAATTGACGTACGTGCCCTCGGCCGAGATTCTGAGCAAATGATGCAACAGTTTGCTTTTGTGTTTATGAAGTGATTTTTTAAAATGATAACTTTATGTGTGAGTTCCTGGCGATATATTTTGACGATCCCTTTCTTCCTATTGTATTTATAGCTATGCACAATCGGTGTTTAAAGAGTTTATATAAATTTAGTATACGTTTTGTGATCCCGTTAAAATAAATGAAATGATTAGTAAACATACTAGTAAACAAGGATGCATTTAATAATTAAGCAATCACATTAATAAATACATAAACATAATTTGAAATACCATATTACAGAAAAAAAATTAATTCAGCGTTAAAAATCTAAAAACATACATATTAATACGCAACATTTAGAATTAATCGGGAAAATATAGCAATTCGAATAAAGGAAAATACTGCGCTTATTAACCGCACAACACCAGCTGATCCTCCTCCAAGATGCGGCAACTTCGGCCCCTTTTCGTGCCACACTCAGGGAACTGTAGGAATATTCAATGGACGCGGCTGAGGATTCTGCACAGGTGTCTCTCCACGTCACTGACAAACTCTGGCAAGGAAGATAATGATACGTCAGCTCAAAAATATAAGAGAACCGTTCTCTTACCTGCGACCAGTTTTCCTCTCCGGGTCGAAGGAGAAAAACGAGTCAGGAACGAGAGGAGAATACAAGAGGTAAAAAATCTTTTAATTGTTCTTAATGTGTGTTTTAAAGGGGGTTTTTGGCTTTAATGTGTGTTTTAAAGGGGGATTTTTGGCCATGAAGGGAGAGTCATTAATGTCTTGTCGTTTTTTATTACCTTTCGTGTTAGTGTGTTTTCATTGCTTATTTTGGATTTGTTTTTAAGTGATAAACATAAGTGTATTATATGAATTGGTAATGTGTAATAGATTTAGAATTCTCTTTATGATAAGTAAAATAAAGTAATGTGTCTTTGAGGAATTAAATGAGGGATGACATTTCCATACTAGAGAATTACATATAGTGTATTCCATGTCTAGGAGGCTGGCTTTGCAGACCTATACGACTGGCAGAGAAGGCAGGTGCGCAAGAAAGAGTATGTTCTTCATGATGGGCCGCCATATGCTAATGGAAAACCTCATATCGGTCATGCAGTTAACAAGGTATTTTTTATATATATATATGTGCATACCCTTCCCCTTCCCCTTCCACTCCTCCTTCCCCTTCCCCTTCCCCTTCCCCTTCCCCTTCCCCTTCCCCTTCCCCTTCCCTTTCCCCCTCCCCTTCCCCTTCCCCTTCCCCTTCCCCTTCCTCTTCCTCTTCCTCTTCCTCTTCCTCTTCCCCTTCTCCTTCTCCTTCTTTTTCTCCTTCTCCTTCTCCTTCTCCTTCTCCTCCTTCTCCTTCTCCTTCACCTTCTCCTTCTCCTTCTCCTTCTCCTTCTCCTTCTCCTTCTCCTTCCCCTTCCCCTTCTTCCCCTTCCCCTTCCCCTTCCCCTTCCCCTTCCCCTTCCTCTTCCTCTTCCTCTTCCTCTTCCTCTTCCTCTTCCTCTTCCTCTTCCTCTTCCTCTTCCTCTTCCTCTTCCTCTTCCTCTTCCCCTTCTCCTTCTCCTTCTTTTTCTCCTTCTCCTTCTCCTTCTCCTTCTTCTCCTTCACCTTCACCTTCTCCTTCTCCTTCTCCTTCTCCTTCTCCTTCCCCTTCCCCTTCCCCTTCCCCTTCCCCTTCCCCTTCCCCTTCCCCTTCCCCTTCCCCTTCCCCTTCCCCTTCCCCTTCCCCTTCCCTTCCTCTTCCTCTTCCTCTTCCTCTTCCTCTTCCTCTTCCCCATCCCCATCTCCTTCCCCATCCCTTTCCCCTTCCATGCAGAAGCTACTTATTATGTTTAGAAATGAAAAGAAATTACATTTTATATTGTAGTTAAATACATTATTGAAACATCAATTCCATATTGATAAATTTGATTGGTAAATACTGATTACAGTGCCAAACAAAAATAATTTGTGTTTAGTTTGTAAAAGGAATTATTGCCATACATTCCAGATTCTTAAGGATGTAACCATGAGACAGAAACTCGTAAGAGGCTACAAAGTGCACTACGTCCCAGGCTGGGATTGCCATGGTCTCCCCATTGAACTGAAGGCACTCGACAGGGATAAAAAGAAGAAGAAGAAAGATGTTTCGACCCCAACTACTCCTCTTGGGATCAGGAAGATGGGTTAGAGAATTTAGTTTTGAGATTGTGCAGTAGTTTGGGTTAGTGTTTGTTAGTCTGTCTGTGTATACTCAGTTCTTCAATTTTTTTTTTCTTATAAGTTTGAGTTTTTATTTTTTTTGATAGGAAGTATTATTTGAAGCAAAATGTAAGAGAATAATTTTGCCAAATTATTTTTAATTAGTTTTAAAGAGTTGGTATTTAGAATTAAAGAAGATTACCTACATAATAAGATTCAAGTAATGTTTTAAAGAGAAAGTATGTCTCTATTGCAGCCAGAAAATTTGCTGAGGAGGCCTTAGACATTCAGCTTGAAACATTTAAAAGATGGGGTGTGCTGGCAAACTGGTCCAACATATATCGCTCGTTTGATCCAAGTTATGTATCGAAGGAGCTCCTTCTCTTCGCAGATTTATATGAAAAAGGTTATGTTTATCAGGTCAGTATTTAATTGTATGCTCTACTATATTTAGAAAAACAATTGAACATTAAGATATCTCTGGTTTGTTTGATATATATTTATACCTGGATATACAGCATACAACACACTTGAGAAAAGTGAATGTATCATTCAGTATGTATACATATTTTCAGGCTTATAAACCTGTGTATTTCTCTCCATCTTCTGGCACTGCATTAGCGGAAGCAGAGCTGGAATATAATAATGAACACTGTAGTCCCTCTATATATGTTGGGATGCCATGCAGTAATTTGCCTCACTTTGTACAGGTTTGTTATGAGTTCATTTATACCTATAGAGTTTCTTTCCTTTTCAAGATGTTTTCTTTCTCTTTCTTTTTTTTTTGCCATATAATGCATCTTATTGGTATGACATCAGTCATATGAGTAACTGTAAATGTTGTTTCACATTGTACTGAATACTGGTTGAATTTATAAATGTTTCAATTTAAATTATATATATATATATATATATATATATATATATATATATATATATATATATATATATATATATATATATATATATATATATATATATATATTATATATTATGTATTATATATTATATATATATATTATATATTATATATATATATTATATATATATATTATATATATATATTATATATTATATATATATATATTATATATATATATATATATATATATATATATATATATATATATATATATATATATATATATATATATATATATATATATATATATAAATATATATGAATATAAATAAATATATATAAATATATATAAATATATCAATACATACACACACACATTTTTTACCACAATTTTATCATCAACAGGAAAAGCTTTCAGACTACGGAGGACCACAGGTCTATCTTGCTGTATGGACAACAACACCTTGGACACTCCCTGCCAATGAAGCCATATGTTTTTCTCCGGATAAAAACTATTCTCTTGTTCTTATTGAGCAAGAAGGGAAGTTAACAGCGTTGATTTGGGCTGAAGAGCTTCTAGAAGAACTGAAGAAAGTTGTTGGGAATAACATCACTATTCTTTACTCCTTTGAAGGTATGGTTTGAACATGAGTGAGTATTGTACTTGACAGAAAAAAAGGCTGTCGTTGTGGCTTTCTCTACTTAAGGCTGTAATAGGTGTGGATATATATAAAGCTTCTGTAGGCCTAAGTAAGTTATTCTACTAAAAACAGACAGATCATAAATTCATGTTTCTATTTTAGTTACATGTTATGATTACTTACTTTCTCACTTTATTTAGGTTCTCAACTGGCTACAGTAAAGTATCGTCACCCACTGGCAGAGCGTTTCTGTCCCTGTCTCCCTGGCAGTCATGTGACAATGTCAAAAGGAACTGGGCTTGTCCATACAGCTCCTGCACATGGCCATGATGATTTTCTTGTTGCTCTGGACTTCAAGATACCAGTGGTATGTTCTTATAGGACTAAATAATGTAGTGTGAAGTGGACTCAGAAAAACTTAGTTCAAGCTATATGAAATTATTTTTACATCTTAACCTAGTGCATGTACCTACCATACCCACTATGAGTATGGTTTATTAATTGTATTTGCACATAGATGGCTCCAAAAGTGCTTAGTCCTAAGAAGTCCTTTACTAGTGCTACCTGTCTCACCTGTTTACCCTTTTCCTTGATTTTTAAAAAATATTATATTTTTTTCTTATATTGTGATTAGTAATGTTTATTTGTAATAATTATATCTGTAACAATAATAATGGTATTGATATTGATTGCATTAGTAGAAAAAAAAATCCAGAAAGGAAAAAGGGAAATCAGGTAAGGGCACAGGGTCTATTAATTGGCTAAGCACTTGTGAAGTCATCTGTGTGTAGACAAAACTATAATGAACATTACATTTTCCCCAGTGGCATTTTGAATAAAGAATAGACTAATTATTAGAAATGTATAGCGATACACATGATTCACCATGATTTGTGTGATAGATATAACATGATATATTAGTAACTTTGCTAAATGTTCATTTCTTAGGACTGTAAAGTAGATTCCCGAGGCTGCTACATGCCAGAGGTTGGTGCAGAGCTCGCAGGAAAAAGGGTGTTAGAGGAAGGAAATGACGCTGTTACGCAGTTGCTTTGTAAGTATGATGGTTTATTGTATTAGTTGCACCACTTAACAAAGTTTTGCTTTTTCTGGATAGCATTATGTATTATTATTATTATTTTTTTTTCTGACTTATCCCCTTGGAACTGGTTGCTTCATGGCAGTCACTTGGACCAAAACACGGGCATTAGGCTTACTTGAGTGACTGCTCTGTGTATGTGTTTTAA